GCTGGTCTGCTCATCCTTTCAAGTGGAAATTTCCCATCTCTGGAGATCTGGATGTGGTTCAGGTTTCCACCTATAGTCTTATGTATTGCAGAGGCTCCACAGGAAGCCTCCTTCACTAGGCACGTTGTAGCCCCATTTTAGGTATTCCATTCAGTTAGAGGCAGAAGACGGACTTTCAAGCTTTCTGTGGTGATGTGTCTGACTATTCCTTTCTCTCCCCCTCCAGTGTCTATTTTATATTATAATGCAAGGAAAACCAAGATTCAAAAGTCAGCCAAGCATTTTAACGTTATTCCCCCCTTTTCCCCATTCCAACCTGCCCGGGTCCGGCCTCGACAGGGAAGTTTGGTTCACGAAGTAGGGAGATCTGGCGGCAAAAGAGATAAAGAAAGAATATACACAAAGACACAACGAGAGAGACAAAGAGACACCCCGAAACCAGAGTGGATGCAAGACTGGCGGGCAGACCCTGGATTGCAGGCATCATGGCCCCTGCAGGCAGTAATGCATGCAGGGTTCAATCTGTGCCCTTCTTTTATTTCAGGGAGGGATTTTACACAAAGGAAGAAGGGGATTATTAAGACAGGGTACAGAAGTGAAATGTGATTAATCGTTCAAAACAGGACACAAGGATTTACAGGAACAAATTCTAAAACATACATCGCAAATTGTCTTAATGATCTAACATCCTTAATTTTCCAGAATTTCAAGCAAATTGTTATAAATTACTTTTTAGGTTCAAATCCTAAGGCAGTGACTCAAGGTTTCTCAAGGCTAATTAACATATCTATAGCATTTAATCTTGAATGGGTAAAGATGAGAAAAGGATTCAAAAGGTCTGGAAGGAGTCACGCTGTTTCAGCTACCTGGCTTAGGCCTTCAGGAGGAAGAGGGACACTATTATTCCTTGAACAATACTCCGGAATTTGCCAATCCACTTTGAGTGAATTCCTTGGGCAGATTGTCTCCAGAGCCCAGCAAACCTGCCTTTGGAACTTTTACGGCCTCGGTTTTAGGAGGAGTTTTTATCTTAATATTGTACATGGATACTAAGAGCTCATGTATTAAGTTAATATCAAACATAACTGAATAATTTGATAAAGAACAGTTTGGACATGCTTGCCAGGTGGCCAGAGTTTGTTCTTCAGAGAGATTTGTTCCCAGAACCTTACGCACTGCCAACACAGTGGAGACATTAAGAGAGGCACAGAAGAAACCATTTTCTCAGAAGCTACTACAATTACTGGAGTTAGAAGCATAGAATGAATAATAAGATCAAAGAAAATTATACAGAGCTAGCCCAACAGTGAGTTCGTAAAAGCCAATGAACCCAGGATGCCAGGAGGTCACTTCCTTGGCCCTCAGGGTCCCTGGCTAGCAATTCTGATTGGAGCCACTGTGTTGGATTTT